CCTTGTATTAGAATAATAGATTTTAAATCAATTGATTTTGCTTTAAAGTATGGAAGTGTTTTGAAGTAAAAAAATAACATCTTACGGAGTTATTTTAGAGTTGCCCATTTTAAAACTTTTTTAGGATCTTCATCTACCAATATAAGTTCTTTAAAAACGTTTTTTATTTCATCTTACCTAGTCTGAAATGCTCTCAGAGTAGAAAAACAGAAGAATAAATCTTTCCTAATTCAGGGTAAGGTCAGCTTTTGAGGTGTCTGTGGTTTAGGGGCAAGTGACAAGTTCATTTCCAAAATGGCAGCAGCTGCTCAAGGTGCTGCCACCTCAGCTGCTAGTTACTGCTTAATCAGATTTTTTTTTCTTTTTTCTCCTTTTTTTTTTATTTTCCCCAGAACTCTAGCTCTGCTCCATGGCAGAGTACAAGAGTTTAGCTCAGCTCCCCAGGTGGCTGGTTCTATCGGGGGTACATGTGGCTGCACCATTTTTTGTGAGACATTCATCAGCCCCTTACCTTATTCCTGCTCTCATCGCTCCTTGTCCACTGTTTGGAGATCATTGCATGTTGAATGGGCTCAAGTGAAAAACAACTAGTCTTAAAAAATGCTGGTTTTCTGTCAAATATCTTCCCTACTTTAGCTCTGCTGAAGGTTTTGAGCAACTAATGGATTGTGCAAGGGCAGAGATGAACAGGGAAGAGGGTTACTGAAGCCAGTGTGGCTGCTGGCAACATCCAGGATGTAGAAGGTTGGAAGTGGTGACTCCCGCTTGGGCAGGTCCCTCATCTGGTGGGCAGTGTGGCCTTGCAGCCGGCATACTGCCCAGAAAGAAGGAGCAGGGTAGGGCAGGGAACAAGAAGCCAGCGAAATAGTTGGTTATGACAGTACTGCTGCAAGGAACGTGAATTTGCAGGCCCAGCAGAGATACTTTCACCTGTTAATATTTATTCTTAAGAAATAACACTGTCGGGTAAAAAGAAAAAATAATCACAATAAAGAGACTGTTTTAATATGTGTTCAGCTATGATAATGGTTTATTTTAAATACCCTTTATTGTCTGATGCTCTGTAGTGATGTTTAAGTCATTACCTTTAAACTGCTCGAGCAGTTTTGTTCCTCTACAACAAATCAGGTTATTAACAAATTCTGGTTATTAACATTTGCATCAAGAGTGCATAATTACAGCACAATTACAGTTTTGTTCAAGCTTCTTTGTTAAAATGCTCTGAATTATTGTTACAGTTAGGGATAACTTCTTAGAGGGTTTATCTTTCAGCGTTTGACTCAGAAATTTGTGACTGACTTGGTCATTACTCATTCAGTCTGCTCACCTGCTGAAGTTGTGAATTTTCTACCAATGAAACCAGACAGCTTGGAAGCAACTGCTAGGAAGTCTGGTGAAAATCTGCCGTCATTCAAGGCTGTGGACTTGAACTTCAGCCCCATTTTTTTCCAAAGGAGTACCTTCAAAATTAATTTCCTAGGCATGTCACTTGACAAGACACCTCTGCCTTGACTTCAGAAGTACCAAACACAAATCTATCTGCTCCATAGAAAGAACAGAGGATTATCACTTCTGAAAGTGAAGTTTGCAGTCTGTTGCAATCAATATTTTTGTGTCAAGTATCTTCTTGATCCCTGGTCTGATAATCATTCTGCTTCTGCAGGGGGAGAATTTATTAGAAGATGCTGGTGTTACAAACATCGAATACTTAGAATTGTGCTCCCGTTTACACTGCAGGGCCTTCAGTTGCTGTCTTGATGTTTAGAAAATCTGCCAGCTGGCTCTTGAGCTCCAAATCCCATAAAATAACAGCCTCAGTCACAAAACACGGTCAGTTGCAAGAGGAAAAAAATAGATTTCTTTCTGTTAGCTTTAAATAACTTCTTTGACATTGCAAAATTTTTTACATTAATTAAAGGAAACCTGGTTAGACAAGAGCAGGTGCTATGGTACCCGGTGGCATCACAATCCCTTGCAGTGTTTTTTCCCAATCTGCTTAACAGCAGGATTACCTTGTTTGGGTACTTTACCTTTCTGGAGAGTAATATAGTTCTTTAGATGTCTTCAGCCCAAGCAGTTGAAGATCAAATTGATTCATTCTTAACCAAGTTAAAGTAATTTTCCTTGATTGTATTTCCACACCTTTTAATCTTTAAACACAAATAAGGGAAGAGTTAATTTTGGAATTCTGTCATTGACTCTCTTGTTTAGTGCTTCTTAAAAGTCAACAGATGTTTTCATGTGGCAAGATACTTCATAGCTATGAAGTAGGAGTATTCAGGTCACTGAATACAAACAAAATAAAACAAACAAACAAAATAATCCCAAAACAAAAAGAATAGGAGAACAAAACAGGAAAAGGCAAGAAGTCTTTTGCAGCACCCTTCATTAATGTGTATTTGCCAAATGATGTGTGATCCTCTCTAGAAGTAAGGGAAACTGACTGTCCTTAAATATGGATTTCTATTAAGCCTGCCATTAAAAAGGACAGATATTGATGAAATTTAACCAAAACCACAAAACACACTTCCTCTGCAGTACAGCCTTGCTGCCATGGTGTCTGTGTGTTTGAACAGGTCACATGTGCCAAGATGCAGAGCTTGGAGCAGCTGTCAGTGACTGTTGTCACTCCTTGCAGTGCCTGTGTTGTAGACCTTGTGCCAAAGGAGCTGCCAGCAGGACTTCTTCTAATTCAACTCGTGCTGATTGCCTGGGCCAAAACTGGAGCTTTCCTGGAACCTTAGGCAATCTACTCAGAGAAGAGAGAAGCAGAGCCACAAAATGCACATTAACACAAAAGTTCACTTACTGTACTGCTCTGTGGAGTGTGGAGGAGGTACTCACCACTCCAGCATGCATCAGCATAGATCCAGAGACTGTCTCCAAGCTGTTGACTGTGTCAGGTCCCATTTTGAAGCAGCTCCCACACTTTCTAAGAGAACTTCCTGATAAATCCGTGTTGCCTTCTACAGTGATCCTTAATCTCTCAACCACATGGTTAAAGCATTTTCTAGTTTGTTACTACTGTATTGTGTAATTCTAGTTTCAGCAGTGAACTGTTTTATGGATTGCTATGGTTCATTTGGGTCTCTTAAATTCACAGGGCAATGTACTCTGTCAGTCAAGCTTTATTTCATGAACTTATTAGGTGAAAATCAAACCAGGGCTCAATCCTCTTTTGATAAACTAGTCTGATTTTCAATTCTCTAATGTACTGCTTCAACAATTCACATAGTCATTAACTCAGAAAATTACTAACACACATGCTTATGAGCAAGAGAGGGTGCTTATCCTTCCTTTCCATCACGCTGCAGGTGTCCCCTCTATTACTCCAGGAAGCAGGAGAGCCTCAGCAGCCCGGCTTCTGCTGGACCTGCTGCCAAAGTCTCTCGGGGTAAACATGTAGTCCTGCCTCCCAGCTCGGAAACCTCGTCTAATTACACCTTCCCTGTGTCTTGTTGCAGTTTGCTCTAAAGACTTTCAGACTTATCAGAAGCTACCAAACACTTACTTTTTCAAGGCTGCAGGCTCAGTAAACCTGACCTCTTTCTGGCCTCAGTACCAGCACAGATGCCGCTCTCCCTGTCAGGCCCTTCTCCCAGCACAGGCCAGGCCTTGGCAGGGCTGTGCCTTAGGGCAGCACTGAGCAGGAGCTGAGCGAGCAGCTGCTGTGGGTCTGGGCCCTACTTCTGCTGTTGCCTTATCATTTCCTGAGTTGATTCAGGCTGGCCCTGAATGCAGCAGCGATCTAGAACCGAACCTGCCTTTTCCCCGCAGAGCCCGCTGAAGCAGCTCGTTATTGCCCATTAATGGCTGCGCATTCAGCGGTGGCTGTGCAGGGACAGCACTAGATGGTGCAGTCACACCAGTGCAACCTCCCGGGCCTCCCACCTCGTTGTCCCCCTGCTCTCTGCAGGGACAGCCACTGCACACCCCAGAGAGCATCCCCATACCCAGGGGCTGCCCTGGGAAGCCACAGAAATAGGCAGAAGGGAGTCTGGCAGCCCTGTCTCACAGCAGGCTTGCCCCAGAGAACAGAGCCCTTTGCATGGTGGGCTGCAGAGCACCCAAAGGCACCGAGTCCCAAGGCTGGCAGGGGCAGGTAGACAAGGGGGGACCTTTTCACATATTCACTGACAAGAAAATATGCAATTTAAAATTTTATTAAATTTTATACTCTATTATATGTTTATTTATTTATATTTATTTATATATATTACACTGTCACATCTGCCATTTAGAACTGACCAAGACCGTTTTCTCCCAGAAGCAACTGACTTCAAATTGGGTCGATTTCATGGGAACATTGTTACTCAGCCACTGCTCATGCAGCCCTAGAGGAGGACAAGTGCAGGCTTTTAGGCAGCCCTGAATAGGGACACTGGTTACAACCTTTCTTTTGGTGTTAAACTGTCAGCATGAGCTTCCCATTCCAGCAGGAGCAGGTCTTTCCTGGTTGTCCTACAAAAGAGTAAAGTCTGGAAAACAGGGAGGGCTACACACACACACACAGGGTCAGGTCCTTCCACCCCAACAGCAGTACTTGAAGGATGTAAAGGAAAATAGTCACTCAAAGCATGTGATTTGCAGCTAATGAGGAAAGGAAGGTGATGCCATATCATGCAATCAGCACCACTCCAGTTGCTGGCATACAGCTCTCCACACACAGGCATGGACACAGAATGTGGTCTTAGTTGTTCAATAATAATAATAGTAATAATAAGAAGAATCATAATACTCGTTGATATTGCATTCTTATGCAGAATTTTTATTTTTTTTTTCATTTTGAGACATCTTTGGCAATATTGATAACAGAAAGAGACCCAGGACAAGTCCTGATTTGTCTACAAGAACTGAAAAAGAACATTCAGAGAAACTTCATTCTTGTTCACCAAGTTTATTAAAGTTCAAAATATTCATGGCCTTCTTACTCTTTTTCAACAAAGCTGTAGTATTATATTAATTTTAAAAAAACATAACACAGGCATGACTTGAGGGGTGTGACTGTTGCATCACTCTCCTGTCATATAGGAGGTGTCTCAGAGCAAAGGCCCACAATGTCACCTGTCTTGTCTGAGTTCCATCTGCTGCAAGAGGAACAAAAGCAAAAATCAGCAGAAGAAATCAGCTGAAATCTGGATCAGCTTTTATCTGCATGCAGAGCTGTGCCATGCAGAGTGGAGAGCTAACATGTGGTGAAACAGCAGCTCAAACTAAATGGGGAGAGTCTGAAAGACAACTGAGAAGTTACTCAGGAAGCAGCCACCTAAACTGTGAAGCTGTGACCATGCCTCTAAGGACACCACCTTTCCTGTTTGGGGGTGGGGGTTTGTTTGGGTTTGAGATTTTTTATATTATATTAATCATTTCTTCTTAAAAGAGTGGAAACGTCCAAGGCACAGATGTAACACAGAGATATTTTACATTTATAGAGGATTTTGACATTGCAGAGGTTTCTGCAATAACTATGCAAGGCAGGTATGTCACTTGGGCAGCTTTCAATGACAACAGTTTCAACCTAAATGATTCTATGGTTCTGTGCCCCCATCTTACAGCAAGGGTGGAAGCAAGAACTTCTGCCTTTCAGTATCTGTCACCAATGGAATTGAGAACACATGGTTTCTGCTCTGCCAGCCTAGGGGTAGCAGCACTCTGATGATAGTTCTTCTCTTAAGGCTGGTGCTTTCCCCTTGCTCCTGCCAGCAGGGCAAAAGAAAGTGCTACCAGATGCAATGTACTTGCCCCAGAGAATGGGAGCACCATCTTCAGTTCTCATTAGCTCAAGGGGCAGAAATCTCTCAGCATGGGATTTGTATTTGTCTTAAAAAGAAGAGCATGCTAGGAATTTGGAAATGATGGCTGTATTGATGCTTTTTCCCCCTTTCAGAAAGTATCATAGATCGATCCTCTTTCTCCTAAAGGAGCTGTTTTCTGCTCCAGAAAAGTTGACCTGAAGAAATTAAAAGTTCTCAAGACCTGTATTTGTGTCTCAGCACAAGTCCTTGGTAGACCCGTGAGAAAGTCAGCTAGTGTTGCAACATCGAGAAAACGTTTTCCTGCTTCTGATACTACAGCAAGGGAGTGTGAGGTGATGGTTTACTCTACATCTGGCCATGCTGGTGGTCTCCTCCAGAGTGCTTACAGGAGCTGAGGTTTTGCACGGTGAGAGGAAAAAAGTGCAGCCGCTGCTGCCAAGAGGATTTATTTGCTCTGTCACGTAGCTGCCAGTAGCAGTACTCCCTTGCAGTGCCACACCTCCGTGGTGACTCTTACGTGAGAAATGAGCACATCTATTTCCTATTGCTGTCAGGGAATGTGGTTAAACATGGCTCTGAAAACTGGAACACAGAAATACAATGCCAGTGGTACTTAACACTGCCACTGAACATAAGGGGAGAGGTTGTTTGCAAAGTAATAACACTGAATAGAACTGAAATGCTTCTGACTGAAGTAGGTGGTTTTGCAGAAGTGCCAGCTTGCAGAACGCTATAGATGAGGGCAGTTCCTCAGTTTGTGTTTAAAACCTACCATCTGAGCGGCAAAATTCTTCTTCAATGTCTAAAGGGATTAAGAAGGTGCATTTCTTGGTATCACCCTGCAACAAGAAATGTATTAAGATTACACAGGTGAATTGCTCAGAATTACAGAAACCCAAGAGAGACTCCAGGGAAGTCAAGCACCTGCTGAAGCAATGGTTATGTCCAGGATTCATACTGCCTCTCCAGCTGACAGGGCCTTTGGTGACAAAGCCACACACTGCAGTAGCCATGCTGGACCTGTCAAGAAGGCCACAACCCCAGCACTCTCAGACCGGTTCAGGTCAGGTGTCCTGGCTATGCTCCTTCCTAGCTTCTCATGCACCTCCTCACTGGCAGAGCAAGGGAAACCGAAACTCTGACTTAGGGTAAGTACTACTTAGCAACAATTAAAACATCTGTGTTATCAACATTATTCTCATACTGAATCCAAACAAGCAGCACTGTACCAGCTACTAGGAAGAAAATTAACTCTATCTCAGCAAAAATCAGGACAAGGATTAGGGTTAGGATTGGGAGAGAAACAGAGTGGGAGCCTCTCACCACAGTGGGGCTGCAAAAGAGCTACCGAAGGAAGAGGGAGCCTGCAAAAAGTCTGTGTAACAACTGGTGGAGACAGCAGGCACAAGACACTGCCTGTTCAGCTGGAATGTCACCAAACAAATATTTCAAGCACTGCAGTACTAAACAGAATATGATTTTCTCCCCTTCTCTCTCTGTCTTTTCTTCTGTAATTTCAGGATCAGTTTTCTCTTTCACCTGAGAGCATGCTTAGGAGATGCTCCTCTTTCTGTCCCTGTCTCCTGATACGAAAAGGGAGAAGGAGTCAGGGAAGTCCCTGCTGCCCTCTGTGAGGGGATTGTGTTGAGATACCTGCCATGATCTTGGGTTGGTTGTTCAGACCTTTGCATGGAGCACACGTGTAGCTATACTGAGCATTAAAGGCATTGCTTATTAATAACCATGACAAAAAGGTGAGGTCTTTAAAGAGCAACTGTCAGCATCCTTGAATTAAGCCTCGTGGATAAAGCTTCTGGCTCTGCCCCAGCCTTGCCAGTTCTTCTCTAAAACTGGCATCTCTCCAAATGGCACATGAATGCTCAGTGTATCTGACAGAAAGAAGAGAATTGAGGAAGTTTTATTAATGACAACTTACTCTCTCAAGATCATCTTACTTTCCCAATCAGTTCTTAGAGATGGAGATAACGAAGGTCTCACTTAAGCAAGTGCAGAAAATAGTCTAGGGAGAGATGATACCTATCATCTTTTCTGATGCAGATTTCACTGAGATGCAAAAAGCTTTGTGAGCTGGAGTGAAGGACTCCATGCTTACCATGGAAATAAACACTCATACTCTTTTCAGCTTTCACAAAGCTTCATTAGAGGGGAAGTGTATTTGCCTTCTCCAAGACCCCATTGCCCAGCTTCACGATCTTCCTGTAAAGTCATAATCTCTGGTTTCCTATTCAAAATCGTTTTTCTTTTCATAATTATTTAATAATAGTTTTATCGTTATGTCTGACTGCATTCCTATACAAATGTAATCTTCTGCTGTGATTTGGAACCCAAAGTAATGTAATGTTGCATGGATCCAGGCAGTCACTATTGCTCTAGTCTCCACCAATATCCCTTCTCTCTCACATGGACCTGTAGTGAGAGTGGCCACATAGGGTAGATGAGCACTAGTGACTGATACACATTTATGGTTTTCTTTAACAGCTCTAGGGGGCTTCTTATGTTGTGGGGTCCATTCACAGACTGCATTTTTCTCTAATAAGTTATGGAGTAGTAAGGCTATTACTAAATCCTATACTAAATCCTGGAATATGTGTCCTCCAAGATCCTAAAGTTCCAAGCACAGCACATTTCTTATTCTGGGACACGGGTAACCATTGGATTTCTTGTAGCATATGTTTTTCTCCCACCTGTCCATCTGACTCTCCAAAAGATGAATTCGTGACTGTGCCCTTGTTCCTCTTCTTCTGGTATCTCTACCCCAGTTGATTGTGGGAATAGCAGGTGTTTGTAGTCTTTACAGGTTTTGGGAAGTGGCCACCTCTTAAGGCATCCCCAATGCACTGCCTCACAGTGACCTCTTGTGGAAATTTTAACATTTCCAGCTCTTCAGCCAATGTAGCATGAGCTAAAGGTATGCTAGGGCTATGGTTTAAGATTTGGGATAGACAAGTAAATGTATTGTGAAGTCCCTGCCTGATGAAAGCAAATCTCCTCTGATCTGCCCCTGGTGCTGGGGTCATCAAAAACATTTCTTTCATATCAGTAGATGCCCTCCATCATTAAGAGGACTGACTATATCAGCCCTACTGGGAACAGAGGCAATGAGTGGTTTGGCAGCAGCTGTCAGGCCTCCATAGTCTGCTGTTAGTTGCCACTTGCCATGTGGGTATCCATAAGAACACATCCCTAAAATCCTCTGCTGTAATAATTACTTTTTCTAAGTTGTACTGTCTATATATAGGTCACTGTCCCTAGGTATAGATCCCAGAGTACTAACATGAAACTCAGGGGAAACTCAGCTAATGGCTGTAAAACAGGTGTTGTCTTCACAGCTAACTGATTGAGAGTTTGCTTTTTATCTCAGTACATTTTCCAAAACCACTTATGCTCAGTGATGCTCTTCTAATTCCCCATTTTGTTTTCTCCTTTTCGCATAGAGACAGTCAGGCTATTTTCCATTACCTTTGTTTTACTTGAGGTTCTCCTCTGTTTTTTACCATTTGTGGTATATACTTGTATATCTGCAAACACGCTCTGGAGAACCTCTTGGAAGGCATTACTACTTAACCTTGGCTAAGGCTGATGATTCCAGTGCTCCGCTCAGCTTCCTTTACATCACACTGCAGGTATTCCCTCTATCACCCCAGGAAGCAGAAGAGCCTCAGCGGTACAGCTTCTGCTGGACCTACTGCCAAAGGCTTTTAAGGGTAAAACGGTGTATTACTGACTCCCAGCTCGGAGGCCTGAAGACTTTGACACTTACCAGAGGCTACAAAACAGTTACTTTTGTAAGCCTGCAGGCACAGCAGAACTGATCTCTTTCTGGCCTCCCTGCTAGCACAGTTGCCACTCTTCCTGCCGCCACAGTTGCTTCTCCCAGCGCTGGCCAGGCCTTAGGGCAGCACTGTGCAGGAGCTGAGTGAGCAGCTCCTGTGGGTCTAGGCTCTATTTCTGCTCTTGCTTTATTATTTTCTGACTTTATTCAGGCTGGTCCTGAATACGGCAGTGATCTAGAACTGAACCAGTTTTCCCTTTAGAGCCCACTGAAGTAGCTCGTTATTTCATGTGTGTGTTTTGTGCATCTATATCACTGATGGAAGCTAGTGCTGTGTCCTGCTTTTTCCTCTTTAACAGCTGCCTAAGCTGGATGGAAGCTAAGATAACTGGAAAGACAATGTCTAGAATTTACTGCCTTTGACATATCAATTTATCCAGATTTTGGGGTTATGAAAGATGTATGGTTCTACTCATGTTTGAGGCACAACCTAGGTAGTTTTTTCTTTTGGTTTCTTTTTGTGACGAAATCCCAGCTAAGCCTCCTTTAGGCTGTGTGTCCAGCGGTGGCTGTGCAGGGACAGCACTAGATGGTGCAGTCACACCAGTGCAACCTCCTGGGCCTCCCACCTCGTTGTCCCCCTGCTCTCTGCAGGGACAGCCACTGCACACCCCAGAGAGCATCCCCATACCCAGGGGCTGCCCTGGGAAGCCACAGAAATAGGCAGAAGGGAGTCTGGCAGCCCTGTCTCACAGCAGGCTTGCCCCAGAGAACAGAGCCCTTTGCAGAGCACCCAAAGGCACCGAGTCCCAAGGCTGGCAGGGGCAGGTAGACAAGGGGAAATAAGCTTTGAGAGGGTGTTTTGTGTCCCCCGCACTCCGTTAGCAGCAGCAATGACAGGAGAGACCCGTGAACTGAGAATCAGATGGCAGAGAAACTTCACTGGGACGGAAACACCAGCACTTCTCTGCACGCCATGTTCCAGCTGCACCAAGGAAGTACAAGGCCAAGGGGAAACAATTATTTGGGCTTCAGTGCAGCTGCTGAAGTACCCTGTCCCCAGATCCAGAGAGGAGACAGAGCCTGAGCATGTCCTTCCAGAGGGAGGGTCTGTGTATGCACGGACATGTGTGCGCACACACAAAATACAGAAATGTCCAGCTTCTCCTCCAGCCTAAAGCGCCAACTTAGGAAGGGGTGAGAAGTGTTAATTCTCCAAGCATCAGCAGTACTACTCCCTCTGTTTAGTTTTCTTCACTTAAAAAACTGTTTCTTCTCACTTTAGGGACACTCGGTTCTTGTGGTTTGGTTACATTTTGAGATCACAACAGAATTAGAAAGAGCTGTAGATTTTTTCCCAGAACATTAAAACAGGCTAACCTCGGCACTGCTCACTTCACAATCTATTTTAGGCTCTTCTAAGCTGAGGAATCATTAATATTTCAGTCTAGCCCATTTAAAATTCAAACATAACCTTCTAAACTTTGGTCTGTATGCTGTATCTAGAGTAGGAGCCAGGCAGATGGGTTTGGTGTCTCTATTACTTAAGAAAATAGGTAATGAGGGGGAAAACTGAGCTACACTGAACTTTACACTTTAAAGATCATAATTAGTTACCCATATACTTTCATGTTTCTTGTTTTTAGCAAATTTTTAAAAAACCCTCTTACCCCCCTTTTCCTCCAGCAGAATGGGAAAGCATTAGCTTCAAAGTATTTTTGGTTCATTGCTGCTACTTTAAAGCTATGAGCTATCTTTAAAGTGAAGATACTCTTACTTCAGTAGTTCACATGAATGTATGAACATATTCTTATGAACATATGAGGACTTCATCCTTGAGAAGCCACAGTGGACGCATTATCTCCATTGCTGCAAACAAGTCACAAATTAATGTTCAGTAAAAGCAATCATTGTTTTTCAACTCATTTAAATCTTTTTCTGGATTGTGAAGCCTCTCTGATTTTTTCCTAATGCCAAGTTTGTCACAATAAACATTTTGTTTTCAGTAGCAGGAATCTTACATCACTTGATGCATGTTAGTCTCTGCTCCTACAGTCCTCCAATGGTGCTCTTCTGCTTCCCTGCTTGTTGTCAGTATGACACACTGCCATTTTCCTGCTAATTGTACCTTGTCTCTCAATGGGGACAATTAATCAATACCTTACATAGTTTACAACTCAAAATTCAAGAGGTGTTACATTATTTTTTCAGTGATGTCCCAAGGTTCCTTGTTTCTACAGTATGATATAAAAATATAGCATGTTGCTTTGCCATAGCACATCACCACTGTGCTCCTGTGCATTAGTCAAAACTCAAAATGGAGTTTGGGAAGTTTTAAGCAAAATCATTTCAATAGCTTAGATTGTAAGCTTTGATCCTACCCAAGAGATCCAAGCTCTTAATAGGAAAGTGAAAACAAAATATAATGTCTCTTGTATTGGAAAAATAAATAACTAATAACAGGAATGTCTAGAGCCTTGAGATGTGTCAAGGAACAATGATTACAGAAAGAAGTGTTGTATCTGTTCTTTTCATGAGCAACTATTGGTTAGGAGTGAAAGAAAACAAAATAGTAATTTCAATATAGTTAATATACTGCCACAGTGAATATGAGCCTGCTTCTACCAGTTGATGTCAATAATGGCTTAGGGGGGTTGTCTGTTTGTTTTGGTTGTTCGGGTGGTTTTTTAATTAAATATGCTATTGCATGAAGAAATCTAAGCAATATGCCCAGTCTTTGCCACATCATTCATACTGATGCAGGTTCCTCCCCTGCATCTGTGAGGCATTAAGGAGGAGAGAGGATGTATGAACCAGAATCCAATTGTAGGATCAAAACAGATTATGCAAAAATCCAATAAAAGCATTTCCCCAGCAGGGAGACTAATGCCAAAGAGAATAATGCTATTTTCAAGATTATTCAGTAAATATTCTATTTTGAAAGAGTTTGTGTCGGTTGCAGCATAATAGACAGGTTATATTTGTCTTCGTAATTCTTAATAGTGCTCAGGAAATGATAGTGAAAATACCAGCTGGGAGATGAAAAAACCTGAATGGATTTGGGCTAAGAAAAGCTTCCTCTGAATAAATACCCACGTGGCTGACAGGGACTGTGGGATGACTACCCTGCCAGGCAGTCTCTCAAACAGTTTGGCTGATGTTTCCCCCTCGCCCCATCTTCCTTGAGCACAGCCTCCCCTCTGAGCTCTAAGTAACCCTCCAGGCTCCTCTGTGTTAGTGAGTCAGCCTTGAAAACTCTACTCTTTTTTGGCCACCTTTTCTACTACAAAAGCAGGTGGATTTCAAATCCCGCAGTCAGCCTCCGCCCAGGTTTGTCCTCCTCCCTTAATGTCTTGTCAGAGGGTCTCGGCACACACAATAGGTGATCCTAGTGCTGGTGGCCGGGGCCAGATGCACAAGTGTGCAACACTTGCAGTCACTCCCACTGCTGTAGGGAGTGGGGGAAGCACGGGACCCTGTGTTGCCCTGGGTCTGGGCATTCTGAGGCTCTGGGCATGCACTACCCTCAAACACTGGCTGAGTGTCACCTTTGTCTTTCTTTTTGTTTGTTAGCTTCCTGGCTACCCCTGGAATGGTGGAAGGGAGATGTGTTAGTACAAGCAGTTGTGTGTCAGGTTTTTCACTTCATACAGGTGTTTTTATGGGAAATGACAGGCACCACTGACTGTCACGCTGACCCTAGGACTGTCTGCTGAACACCTCCCAGAAATTAATTTGGAAGTACAAGGAACCTGCTTACAAAGCAGAGACAGAGAGCTCGTGCAGGGGAGAGGAAGCCATAGTACTGCAAGGCTGAGGGGACACAGCAGACCCCCCCGAGGGGACAGTTGCACTGCGGAGGAGGCAGGGATTTCTGCCAGGCTGCTTCCTGAAGGCTTCCTGGGATGTCTGCCTTCCAGAACAGCAGCTGGCTTCTAAATGCCCTGCAACTTTTTACATATCCCTCTTGTCTAGCTGCTTAGAAGAAAAAGCATTGCGTTGGTTATCCTTCCTAGTCTGGTGCCTTTGTAGGAGGGACAGAGACACATCTGTAGAGCAGATTATGAGGACAGGGTCAGGCTGCCACAGAAACTGTCCTCAGGGCAGAGTTCCCATGGCATATCAGACTTCGGCTTCCCTCGTTTCATCATATCATCAGTCCTTGCCCTGGCCATTGCAGTGGGTTTGGAACCATATGATCTTTAAAGTCCCTTTCAATCCATACGATTTATGATTATATGTGACCTTTTCAAGCTCTGGAAATGGATGACATTTTCAAGGAGGAAGAGGATATGCTTCTTGAAATTGTTATTCCTGTTTTAAGGAGTTGATAGTATTTTCTCAAGAGGACATTGGAGCAGAACAGATAGAGGCCTTTACTAGACCCCCATCTTTCATTCTTACTTTTGTAAAGACTAAATTTAGTGTCCAACTAGAGATGACATCAGCTCCAAGTCAGGTATTAGCATTGTGGTTGCTAAGCTTCCATCTTGTTAGCAGCATCTTAAAATGTTCAGAGATAAGAGTCATCCTCCTTTAAGACATCTCATTCACCCACTCAAAATTAGGACTCCAAACCCCATGCCACCAATTCTACTGGCCTTCTGTTTCACATTGCTCCTCATTCCAAGCCATATCCTTCCTTGCAGGGCCTCAGCCTCCTCAGGCCTGCTCCCCTCCCATGTGGCCGCATGAATGACAAACATCCAGTGCTCAGCATCCAGACATGATCATCTCAGGAATCCTCTCAGCTTTTGGCAAGCCGCCTGCCCATCCCCAGGCACTTGCTTGT